TCTACCTAACGTTACGAAAAAAAAATTATGCACCTTTAGTTTAATCGAATATTATAAACTTTGCTTTGTTGATTGCATAATTATTTAATATAGCGATCTAAGGCAGTTGCCACCATTGTACAAAACAACAGACGGGAATTACTGCTTTCTTCAACCTGCGACATAAACGTATTGATTAGTATTGTATGTAGGGTGATTAACAACATTGAAGTTAACTTCTGGCATCTACATATTGGGGTTCTGTTTCCCTTACTGAAGTAACAAGACTACGGTATATACCTTCTTATAATACTAACTAACTAAAAAGTGTAAATTAAAAAGGGAAAATTTAAAAAATCAAAAACCCGACTGCTTAATTATACTTCAAATAAAAACTGAAAAGAAAAAAACAAGTCCAGTAGTGAATAATTCTGTTAATAAGGAACAAAGCTACTTTGACAGTCGGGACCCATAATTGAAAAATATTATGTATTCTTGAATATCTAATGGGTCCCGACTGTTAAGGTAGCTTTGTTCCTTATTAACAGAATTATAGACTACTGGACTTGTTTTTTTCTTTTCAGTTTTTATTTGAAGTATAATTAAGCAGTCGGGATTTTTGATGTTTTAAATTTACCTTTTTTTACAGAATGTTTTTGGTGGGATTTATCTTACTGCTTAATCGAAGGGGGTTGTGATACAGCCGGCACAAATTGAATTCGTCACATTCTCATTTACTCCATACATTGTGAAAGGTAATTCATCACATTTTTACGCTATAGGTACAGAGACAGATAATTCGCCACATGTACTCTAACAAAATAGAACTGTGGAGAGTTTACACATACTTTTTTTGTGACAAATTTATACTTTGTGACTGTTTGTGACCGTATTTTTAATGCCGTCTTTCTCAACATGAACCAAAGAAACAGCTCACAAAACACAAATAAGAGGAAAATGATAATATTTAAAAAATATATAGTTCTGGACACATCTATTGGCCCACCTTGTATTTTCAGTTTCGTTTGGTCCTAGCTAAAATTTTATATTAGGTCGAGCAAAAAGTTTTTATGCAGTTTTGAACCTGGCACATTCACAATTTCATTCAATAGTCCTTTTTTGAATTTTGAATACAGATTTTAAAGAAACAAAAGACAATTTGGAGCAGTTTGGAGCCTGTTTGTTGATATCAAACAATCGAATACTAAGAAAACTTGGTTTTATTGGTTTACTTGGATTTAATTCTTGAAAAAGTGATTGATATCTTTGGTTTTGCAACAAACATTACTATTCTTAACATTAAGGGGAGATTCTATAATAATAATAATAATAATAATTTATTTATTGTCACATAAATTGATTACAATACTGGTTTATAATGTAGTCCCTGACCCCTATAATAGGATAAAGACCTGTGTGACAGGGGTCAGTGCCCACTTCCGAATACATAGATCATAACTATTTATGTAACAAAACAGTTTTACAATAAGACATACATTATTGAAATAATTAAATCAATCAGAATTCGATCAGAATAAATAAGTGCGCATGTGTATGCGTGTGTGTGTGTGTGTGTGTGCGCTTGTGTGTGTGTGTGTATGTGTGTGTTTGTGAGTGTGTTTGTTGTGTGGGTGTGTGTGTGTGTATGTATGTATGTGTGTGTTTTAGTAAATCTGCGTGCAAGTCAAAAAGTAGGGAACTTAGTTTAACAGCAAAGTTTCGGTATAATCATAGTTAAGGGTAAGTAACCATTTTCTTATTTTAGTTTTTGCGTCTTTAATAGGTAATGGATAAAAATCAATTATTTTATTTATTTTATTGTAAAGATACTTAGATAAATAAACAAACTGTCGCCTAGCAAATGCTGTGCGAAATCTTGGTAGATTACATACACTGACAATAGTGCGTTTACTTCTATATTTTTTGGCATTGTATGGGGTATTACGATGTTGTTTTAAAAGAGTTTGGAGGATATATATTTGTCTTACGGTAAGAACTTCACACTTTTCATACAGCAACTTGGTTGAAAATCTGAACGGGCTAAACGTCATAACCTTCAGTATAGACCTCTGAGCTCTTTCGAGATCTATTATAAATGTTTTACAAGCTCCGCCCCAAACACAAATGCAGTAAGTAAAAATCGATCGAGCCAGAGCAAAATATAAATTCCGTAAGAGAGTAAAATCTGCAACGTGACGCAATCTCTTAAAGACCCAGATGAGTTTTCTGAGACGAGTAGTTATAAGATTGATATGACATTGCCAGTTAATGTTCTCATCAAGTATCACACCTAGGTACCTAATTTGATTGGATTTTTCAAGTGAGAGACACGAGCAGTCAGTACCTTTCGATAGGTCACAATAGTGAAATTTTAGATTTAAATGATCTGGATGACTATTATGCATATGGAATTGTAAGTATTTACTTTTAGAAATATTTAGAGTTAGTAAGTTTGCTCTAAGCCAGGATCCAACCTTATGAAGTCCCTCCTCAGCCAGATGACTTACCTCATCCCAAGTCCCCCCGTGAAATATCAATGCCGTGTCATCTGCATAGGAAAAAATTTTGCAGTTTGTTAATGAAAGTTGACACATTCTATCAATAATCTATGGATACTTCACCTCAAGTCGCCGCCCAAGCTGTGGCACTTATTCAGGCCGGACACAGCCAAAGAAACGTGAGTGCTCAACTTAATTTAAGTCGATCTGCGGTCCGAAATGTTTATCGGAGGTACCTAGAGACTGGCGGCTTTGTTCGTCGCTAAGGAAGGCCACGATCTCGGGCCACAACTGAAAGGCAGGATCGATTCATCGTGACGACCAGCTTGAGAAATCGTCACCTTACCTCCATTGAGATACAAAAACAAATTCGCGACATCCACGGAGTATCTGTGAGCGCTCGAACTGTTCGGAGAAGGTTAAAAGAACGCGATATGGTACTACACAAGCCAATGCGCCCAAACCAACACGAGCCCACCGAACAGCGCGCCTTCATTTCGCACGCAGTCATTTAAATTGGCACAGCAAGATTGGAGCCGTGTACTCTTTTCTGATGAGTCTAAAATTGTGTTACATGGCAATGATGGAAGGAAGAAGGTCTACCGACGTAAGGGAGAGCGTTTCGCACAATGCTGCTTTGAAGAGAGGGTTGTTTATGGCGGTGGCTCATGGACTGTCTAGGGCGGTATATCCGCGAGCGGCAAAACTCAACTTGAGGTTGTTACAGGACCACGGCTGCCAACATTAAATGCTGAAAGGTACATTCGTGAGTGCTTAGAACCTCACGTGATACCATACGCGGACTATGTGGGCCCAAATTTCCTTTTTATGCATGATAATGCAAGAGCCCATGCGGCCGGCATCATCAGGGAATATCCACGGGATGTGAACATCACAGTTATGGACTGGCCAGCCAGAAGCCCAGACATGAACCCCATTGAGCACATGTGGGACGAGCTAAAAAGACGTGTTAAGGCTCGTCAGCCAGTTGCCCAGACGATGCAGGAGTTGAAAACTGCCATAGAAGAGGAATGGGAGATGATCCCTCAAAATTTCATAGAGCGGTTGATAAACTCTATGCATAATCGTATGAGAGCTGTGGTAGATGCCAATGGAGGCAACACGCGTTATTAAATTAAACCTTTATTTGATAAAAACATGTTTTTTATTCAAAAATCAATTGCCTTTAACAAGGCGCATATCCGACTTGTTAGGCGTAGCTCCATGTCGTATGGTATTCTGAATTCAAATTTAAAACAATACTATCGAAAAAGATGGTAAAATGTATCAGGTTTAAAACTGCATCAACAGTTTTTGTTCAATCAATCTAGCAATCATATTTCGGTAGGGGCCATCGAAACCTAAACTCTAATGTGGGCCAATAGATGTGTCCAGAAGAGTATTTTCAAACACAAAAAAGTGATATTAAGGGGTCTTACTTTTAAATCATCTTTTGTCAGCAAATTGGAAGGCATGCCGGAAGTCCCGAATCAATAATCTTGCTGTTAGAAAGGGACAGTTGAGGCTCAAATGGGCGAGCACGCCACGCCTCCTTGTAGGGCGACCGACTCCCTAGAACCTCGGCCCGCGGTTCCCTCAACATGCCAATATCAGGGGGGCCTCGGTAAGGTACCTAACCTACTGAAACTCGGTAAAAATAGCTGGTTTCATACACGTATTGCAAGATTGCAAATATTTCTCAATATTCTTTTTGTTTTGTCGAGTTAATTTGTAACTCTATTTGATCCATATGATCGTAAAATTAAACACTTTTTTTAGCTCTTGTTCTGTTAAATAAATTTATGTTCGTCACTCAAAGTTTTTATAATAAGTAGTAATTATAATTATTAAATACGTTTGTATTTAAAAAGATAAAGGAATGACCTTTTAAATTTTTTTTTCTTATTAAATCCATTTCGAAGACTTTCGGAAGAATTGCGAAATATTCATGTAAATTATCTCATTTGGTTTACGTAGTAAGCACTGAGTGCCGTTCACTTAGATAAGTTTAGTGACTATTTTCAGTTCTTTTTCCCTGAACAAATCACACTTCCTACCATGGAAGTGTGATTTGTTTTTTTAAGTGTATACTTAAAGTATGACCTACAAAAATTGGGTTTCATGATGATTAAAATGAACAGCGATTCATTGAAACCAATATGACGTATTAAATATTGAATTAATCTAATAATTTTCGGTACTATAAAAACGTAGCAAAAATTCATGCGTCCAAGATAATGATGGATACCTAAATACAAAACAAATTAAAAGAACTTATCAGACTGTTATTATTTGATAAAAAGGAATGATAGCCGCAACTTTATTAAAAAAGAAACAAATCGTTAGCATTGTGTTGCTTGCTTGATTTGCTATCAGAGTGTACTTATTTGGTGATCATTAAAGTAGTTAGGTATAATATGTTCGATCGTGTAACAAAGGTACTTAAAATAGTTGTTGATTAAAAATAATTACCTGTATTTCTTCTTGTTATTTCATAGCAATTTAAGACAAGCTGTTAATGGCATGTTGTTGTGTACGATATTATCATTCAGTTTCTATATTTTCAGTAAGTTATTGATAAAATTATAAATACATATTTTTACTGAATTATATTATTATACACTAGTGGCCCGCCCTCGCTTCGCTTCGGGGTAGAATTGATCTTTCTTAGCGGATGCCTACGTCATAACATCTCCTTCATGCCAAATTTCAGCCCAATCCGTCCAGTGGTTTGGGCTGTGCGTTGATAGATCACTATGTCAGTATGTCAGTCAGTCACCTTTGAGTTTTATATCGTTATATATATAATTCTTCTGTGAGTGTGTATGTCACTGAACTTCTCTTAAACGACTGGACCGATTTTGATGAAATTTTTTGTGTGTGTTCAAGGGGATCTGAGAATGGTTTAGATTCACAATTTTGTCCGCTGGACAATGTTTTTTTAATTAATTTTTAATTTATTAGTAGTTGTTGATTTTGGAATGTTTTACATTGGATCCGACAGACGGCGCTACCATACTAGACAGGACAACGTCTGTCGGGTCCGCTAGTATTATATAGATTTGCTGGATTTGAGCGTCATGTAACCAAAGAGAACGTTACAATTAAAAAAAATGATAAACTTTTAACATATTATGCTCTCAAATACTATAACTACAAGTACAAACATTAAATGAACATAAAACATCTGTCAAAACTGAATACTGACGTACTTAACAGTATTGAAATCATCACAATATTGAGAATCATGTATTGATGTAGATTGTGAGTACCTAATTATGTGTTTAGTGCTGTTCCTATATTTTTTCCTTCCCACAACCTAATATAATATTGCTACTCCAAGTAGGTACCTAAATTTAATATGTTATTTCAGGCTTTTGGCAGATAAACGATGCTATATATACGGCGGGAACCCTGTTGAAAATGAAACACACAATCGTTGACATGGATACAGAGCTAACGAAGGATGCACTTTCAAAAGTACATAGTGTTCGTCATTTAAGAGGCCAATATGAAAGGTGCTAGGCTTTTTTATCTTGAAAGAAAACGGCTAACAATCATTTATTAAGGAACTAAATAAATAAAGGAAGTTTTTCGATTTACAAATGTTGGCAGAGCATAGGTACTCATTATATACCATGAAGCGAATGCAAATTTATACACAAATATATTTAGCAACTTGCGTGTGATACTTCTAATGTTATGGACAACTTATAAACCGTTGTTCCCACCATTTGCTTTCCATATAAATGATTAGTTTTTTAAGTATCTGCACTGGAAAGCTAGCAGCTGAAAAAAGTATATTCTACATATAAAATACCTGCTTTTACACATTAGAATAGTAGTAAAGGGTAAGATTAAAAGTCCGCCAGACCTTACTTATTTTTTCATAGACAAAATAAAGATACTCGCTAACTTATGCTGTGGGCCAAGTTTCAGTTATCCGGTGGCACAGGCACGTAAAAATGTTACTCACTTTACTAACAGACTGAGGACTGATTCTTATATGTTGTAGACAATATTGTAAACAATTTGTAATTAACACTGCCAGACTACTTGTGTTTTTTGCTTTCGACATTAAAAGTGTCTGGCACTAAAAACTGTATGTATCTGGCAGTATTAATTTCAAATTGTTTACAATATTCTCTACGGAGGAATCAGTCCTTAGACTGTTAGTAAAGTGAGTAAATATTTTACGCGCCTGTGCCATCTGCTACATGAAAATTGGCCCACAGCTTAAGTTACAAAGTATGTACTTACATGTTCATTGCACACACTTCTACTACTTAACTATCCATATTTTGTCCATGAGAAAATAAGTAAGGTCTGGCGATCTGGGGATCTTGTATTATCTTAGAGCATTGTTTTATAGTAGGATTGGGTAAATAACTTGTTTTTCTTACATTCATACATACATTCTATGCTTAGATACGGTAGGTGCATCTCATTATTTCCTTTTGATTTTGTTATTACTAAATCAGATAACTAATTCGTATCCAAATACTTAACCGCCAGCATATAATAATTTCATATTTGCACAGGCACACTGCATATTATATCGGAGAAATATACAGTACAGCGAGCATGAGATACAAAGGAATGGCTTTTCTATTTAAAAGAACAGAAAAACTCATTACATATTTCAATACGTCCAAGGTTAGCATAGGGAATAAAATGTTAAAATATGATTCATAGCTAAATTGCGCTGAAATAAAACTTTTTCTCTCCCGTAGATCACGGAAAATTTAATTGAAATCGATTACCTGTCCAAGGAAATCGACAATTTAATACTAATGGCAGAAATGTGGACGAAACCATTGGCAAATGATGAAAACACTCAAAGAGATAATGCCCTTTATCAAATTATACATAGGACGGTTTTTAATCAGGAAAACCAACCGAACGCAGAAACATGGAATGTGAAAATTTCCACAACACGTAAGAATTCATGGCACATGCATCCATCTCCAGTGAATGAACAAAATGCAACGAATAGAGATGTAATAGAAGATGGGTTTGATTCTGACAGTTCTTTAATAAAATGACCTTTATATAAGTAAAATGAGTTGTATTCTTAATACTGTCTTATCTATTTGTAAGATTGATAAGCATAAAGGTACAATCCCACAATGGGCCGCAGACTGCGACCGCAGGCGACACTGCGGGCTGGCGCCTGCGGCTGACCGCAGTGCTGCCTGCGGTCGCGGCAGTTCCCTAAGAAGAAGTATGTGGGCCAAATAAAAGACCATATTCTTTATTGTTTACATAAGCATACAGAAACAATAATATGTTGAGTTTAACATAAAATTTGTCTATGGACCATTGCGATTCAAATAGCGTATATTCACCCATTTAGGTAGGTACTTTCTATTTTTATTTGAGTTCTTTCCGATTGCTCTCCACGCATTATCTATGATCGAATTATTGCGGTAATTTAGATCGGATGTGTCGTAATGGACTGGATGACCAGAAATTAATTAATTTCACTCCATCATCATCCGAAAATGACGTCATTTTTTAAAATACGTGTGACCTCTCTGCGGTTCACGACACCACTGGAAATGCAGTCTGCGGTAGCTGCACGCCGCGGCTGCAGGCCGCAATGTCGCCGCGCTCGGAATCAATTCCAAAGAGATTCATAGAAACCAGTAGTGTCGCCTGATGTCTGCAGCTGCGGCCTGCGGTCTGCGGTTCAGTTTGGACTTGCAGAGCTGTAAGTTATCAGCAGCAACCAAAATACGAAATACATAGAGAAAATGAGTGTGTACGGACCACACATTAGTACCCTTAGTACGAACCAGTATCGAATGCGTAACGTGTTTGCGAGTGCGAAATGTCATTGTCAAATTTTGTATGGAAACTTGAACAGCAGCGCCACAAAGTACGGAACGAGAACTAAAAATCGAATTCGATATTGGTTCGTCCTAAGGGTATTAAAGTGGAAGTTCTTTTCTTAAATAACATTATGCCATGCATAAAAGGCATAGGGGAAAGGAGCAGCGCACGCAACACTCATATATTTATATATTGTCGCGTGTGACGCTCGTAACGCTCGTAGCGTTTCAACCTTCGCCGAGTTACCCTCCAACATTCATGCTCGTCAGGAAGAGCTGCGCACGCATCCCACACATACACATATATTAAATATGCATATATTAAACACAGTTAGGACATAAGTATTGTCACACAGTAAAAACTTTTCTTATAGAATACTGGCCACAAAAAAGTTTCGTTGAATTCGAATTTCGAATTGTTCATGAAAATAAAAATGTAAACTTTTTAGAATTTTACTCATTTTTAAATATGGAGTAGACGCTTAAAGAAGACCGTGTTGCAGTTATTGCGTTGCATCGTTGCGGTTACGAGCCAATTAAAATTTTTGACATACTGAAAATTTTGAATATAACCAAAAGATTCGTTTATCGTACCACCAAACGATACAATGAAGACTCTAGTGTAGATGAAAGATCAAGAAGTGGTCGCCCTCGGTCTGTTAGGACTCCAGCAGTGATAAAAGCTGTGAAGGCGCGAATTCAAAGAAATGCCAGACGTAAGCAGAAACTGTTGGCCCTTCAGATGGGGTTAAGTTCTGCTTAAACGGTTAAAAGGGTGTTAAATGGAGACTTAGGGGTTCGGGAATATAGAAGAAAAACAGGACATCGTTTGAATGATCGTCTAATGGACCTGAGACTGAAGAGATGCCGCGCTTTGTTGAAGCGGTACGCGGGAATAAAATATCGGGAAATTATTTTTTTCGATGAAAATATTTTTACCGTAGAAGAGAGCTACAACCTACAACAAACAAAATGATAAGGTGTACGCACACAGTAGTGAAGAAGCGAGCAACCGTATTCCGCGTGTCCAACGAGGTCTTTTTCCATCCTCGCTCATGGTATGGTTGGGAGTTTCTAATTGAGGCTTAACAGAGGTACGTTTTTGTGAGAAAGGTGTAAAAACGAATGCAGTTGTGTATCAAAACATAGTCCTGACGAACCTGTTTCTCATAGCATGTTCAATAACAGGCACTGAGTATTCCAACAAGATTCGGCGCCAGCTCATAGAGCGAAGAGCACACAAGACTGGCTGGCGGCGCGTGAAATCTACTTCATCCGGCACGAAGACTGGCCCTCCTCCAGTCCAGATTTGAGTCCGTTAGATTACAAGATATGGCAACACTTGAAGGAAAAGGCGTGCTCAAAGCCTCATCCCAATTTGGAGTCACTCAAGACATCCTTGAATAAGGCAACCGCCGATATTGACATGGACCTCGTTCGTGCTGCGATAGACGAGTGGCCGCGCAAATTGAAGGCCTGTATTCAAAATCACGGAGGTCATTTTGAATAAACTTTATTGTCATAAGAATCTATTTTTTTTTTAAGTTCATTTTGGTATATAAAGGTACATAATGAATAAACTTGTTTCAATTATTTTATATTATGCATATGACAGAATTTATGACCCGCCCGCCACTTCGTACGCGTGGCGTTAGTTAGAAATAAAGGATCACTGCTCGTTCCCCGTAGGTGATAGCGTGATAATATGTAGCCTATATTGTTGACTCGACTTTTTAATAATATTCGTGCCAAATATGAAGTAAATCCATGCAGTCCTTTTTGAGTTTATCCCGGACATACATACAGACAAACAGACAAAAATACTAAAAACTATATTTTTGGCTTCGTTATCGGTTGTAGATCACACCTCAAGTATTATTTTAAAAAAATATTTAATGTACAGTTTTGATTTTCGTTATAACGTACCTCAGGGACAATTCTTTTATTTGGCAATCATGGGTTCCACTTCACATCTTGTCATCAATTTCAGCAGCTCTGTTGGGTCAACTAAAAATTTCTCAATAGGAGCAATTTGTTAAACCAAATTCTTGGATGACATATAAAAAAATGTTATGTTAGCGATTTTGCTATCCGTCTCTTAAAATAGTTTGAAAGATAATATTTATCATTTATCAAATATATAATTTACTAACGTAATTGTTAGTGTCAATTATTTAAAAAAAAAAAACACTTTTGCATATTGTATACAATTGCAAATTTAATTTATATCTTAAATTATTTTCCTTGTGTGTGTGTGGTGTTGAAGTAAGGTAATGTGAACATTACAATTTTACTCACATTTAAAGTACCTATTTAATCTGTTTATATAATGATTTATATTTTTTTGTTCAATTTACCCCTATCCATACTAATATATATATTATATATATATTTTATATTATAAATGGGAAAGTGTGTTTGTTTGTTTGTTTGTCTTCTCTTCACGCCTAAACCGCTGAACCGATTGTGATGAAATTTGGTATATGTACAGCTTGAACTTATGAGACTGCTATAGGCTACTTTTTTTTAATTTATGTATTCGAATTTACATAATTTTCAACTAAATTAATCATTTTCATGGTTGGTCCCGATAGAGATGGCGCTACTGTCACGAAGACAGATTAAATTTGAAATGTGGAAATTGCTATCTTAACATAATACGAGATGGCACCACTCGTGTTTAATATTTAGTGTATTTTGTGTTAGTGTTTCATTTATTAAATCGAGGTAATTTTACGCAATTTCTTTCTAATCTAATTTTTTAAATTAAATCTAGCAAATACTACTCTAAATTTATAATATAAAAATATCATTTTCGAGTGATTATAGATTCTGGATGTTGCGCTACCATCTCGAATACCAACTCAACCGAGTAGTCTCTCTTGAAATAATATTTTCTAAGTAACTTAACAGATGGCACCAGCCGTCTTTAAATTCGAGTATTTTTAATTGCTAAAAATGTGAGTTGTGATATTGCGATTTTTCAGATCGCGCTATTTATGAACATGACTTTTTAATATTTATTGTTAATTTTAACGTGGTAGATATTTTAATTAAAACAAAATTAGTAAAAAAACCGACTTCTTTCGGTGTCCTAATATCTTACCAGAAAATCTTATAAACATCAAATGGATATTAAATAATCAGCTGTTTACAGTAGACAGATACTAAATAAACAGCTGTTATGATTTATTTTAGTCCCTTAATCGGGTATTATCCAATAATTTTCAAGTGAAGATTGATCCTGGATGTTGAGTAGAGGTAGGCGCTACCAACTCGAATAACAATTCGAAAACCAAGCTGTTGCGTATGAAACTGAAGAAATGTCGCTACCCGTCATTAAAATCGAGTTTACTTGCACTAAAAATCTGAGGTTTTTCGGATGGCGCTATTCATGAACATTACTTTTTTATATTTATTGTTTTTAATAGTATTCTGTTATCTGTGCTATTAGAGAAGAATCAACGTGGTGGTGTTAAGTGCTTACTATTTCAGCAGGTAAGCAACAGCAAGCAGTAGGTACCTACCTACCTTGATTGATTTTAAAGAAATACGATTTACCAAGGTACCTACCTACCTACATATCTGTTTTTGTTTTTTTGTTTTCCTTTGTGATTTGGTTTTGTTAATTAGGTAGGTATTTTGGTAGTTTCTTCGAATGTATAAAATTGGCTCACTGATAAAAATTACGATTATTATATTATAACCTACTTACCTCGATTTTTACCAGTAAGATAGACAACGCATAGGTAGGTATTGGTTTTTGTAATAATATGGTATTGTAGTTTTTGATTGGTTTTGTTGCTCTGAAAGAAGGGCTGCCCATTTGGTAGATGCCTTTGTAGATAGGTACCAAAAAAAATGTGTTTAAAAAAATTAAACCCTTTATTCTAATAATACTAATGCTTTTACATTTTGAAGTTTTATTACGTACTATCCATAGTAGTATTAGGTATTATTATGAGAGTGTTTGTTTTGTTTATCCTTCCTCGAAGCCTAAACCACTTTGAAATTTGGTAAGTATGTAGGTTGAAGCTTTGGGTTGCTATTAGCTACTTTTTTACTCACTATGTCAAAAGAGGATGATAGCCTCAAATAGGAAAACCACGCGAGCGTAGCCGCGGGTAACAGCTACTTTCCAATAAAAGAACAACAAGGTTGTGCATGTGCTACCTATATTGCTGATTACATGCCATTTCTAAAATAGCTTTATATTAGGCACCCGGCATACAAATGTTGACTGTTGAATGTCCCGATACCAGACAAAAGTAGGCCCATTCTTTTTCATATTTCATCAGTAAATTTTGTTTTTATAACCTAAATTCGTTCATTTTTATAGACAGTTGGTTTAATTGGTGAATTTGTATTTAATGTAGGTAGTTGGGAATCAATAGATACATCTAAGTCAGGGATATTACGGATCTTCGACTCCGACACCGTTAAGTCGGAACTTCCGATTATTATTACACCTTCGGTTCCGATTTCGGTTCCGAAACTTTTTTAATCGGAGGTCGAAGCATAGCAAATAGCGACGGGGCGGCCTGCGCCGACCGTTACGAACTGGTTTATAACCGTCGCGTTATGAGTCTGTGTTAATAATAAGTAAATTTAAATGAAGAAAGGTTATTTTATTTATTAAAATGAAAAAAAGGTTGACTGAATGATGTTTATATTTTTTCTTAAATGCAAAAATATCTCACTTTTGACCACTTTTGACTGTGCCTCTGACCCCGACTCTGCCTCCGACTCCGGTTCCGACTCCGATAAATAAAATTTAAAAACTCCGACTCCGACTTAGGTTCCGATAAATTTACCTCCGTTACATCCCTGATCTAAATTTATGTTGGAGGAGTCACAAGTAGCCGATGATTGAGCCGGCAACTGTTTGCAATCACATGTATGAATGTTCGTCAAAGAGTTAAACCTGTCACCTATATTATAAAGCAATGATTTGTTATAATCCTGAGCAGTAAGTACTTAAAACTGACCGATGACAATATGATTGTCATGGAGTTGCCCTTTGACTATGATTTATTTATTAATTTAACATTACATAAATTATATAGAAGCAGAAATGTCTTAAAAATATGTTTATTAATAAACTCCATTTCGACGGCCTCATAAAGTAAATTCATTTTGTAATGATGATTAACGGAATATTGCGCAATAAAATAGCATCATTTGGCGATAGAGCGCATGTGTATTGTGCATGCTGTAAACACCATGAAATCATCAATTGCAATTTTATTAGCAACATGTATATTTTGTAAGTAAAATTAATTCAATAAATTCATACAGTCTTAGCTTTATGTTTATTATACGTAATATATTAAATATAAATTATCCTGCATTAATGTTTGAAAACCTACAATAAGCGCAAGCTATAATCATGGTGCAAATAATAAAACAATACATGATGAAACTTGGTACCTACTTATTATAATAAAGATTGAATACGATAGCAAACAGGATTGAATTTTGTTACAGATGAAATTTGGCAAATATCCGAAGCTTACTACGCTAGAGATACACTTAAGAGGATGAAATACAAAATAGTAGGCATGGACAGGGAGCTCACAATAGACGCTCTTATGAAAAGAGCCAGTATCAACCATTTGAAGATGTTCTATGATAAGTAAGCCTTCGTACCTCTTGCAGGGTCTCTACTCTTAAAAAAAACATATCGGTGCCATGCCAACCTATATTGAGGCCATGAGAACCATAGTGACCTAACTCATTTTTTAAACATAGTGGCCTATCTTACTTAGCCAGTATATCACCTCAAATTTAGATCACAAACTAAAAACCGTAACAGTGATTATACTGCCATCAACTGAATATTCGTTGTATCACTTTTAGACCACTCTGGTTCTATCAAAATGATCAATTTGAACTGGAAAAAATCATTAACTCAATATTGTAAAAAAAATAGTTAGGCCACTATGGTTCTCATGGTTTATCTTATATCTATCTATATTATATATATATATATCTTTATGATCTCAATTATAAATGGAAACTCAGTGTATCAGACATGCATGACTCCAAATATTAATTTTGTGGTTAAAGATAAAAAAAGGTTTATTAGTTTTTGGTTTTCGGCGGTTTAATTCATTTTGTAATTTAATCGGAATCAGAATCTGTGGGAGAACAATCACCCCTATTTTTCCACCTTTAGGATAAGATTTTATCTGGGACCAACATTGAGGTATACCCTCTCCAAAAAAATAATCAACTAAATCGGACTACTCTGTAAAAATCTAAAGAAATATTTTTTAGTAAAATTTTTTTTAGATTTTTACAGAGTACTTTGATTTACTTGGTTAATTAAACATCTAGCCGTTAAATTCTTAAAAAATAGAACTACCCTGTAAAAAGTTTTGCGTCATACTTAAATTACAATTATTTAAGTATAAGGCATAACTTTTAACAGTATTTCCTACTTTTGGGGTCGAAAATATTTTCTAAATTTAATGGGATCAACTTTGAGGTATAACCCTATTCAATAAA